GGGGGGGGGGGGTCTTCGACCTGAAAAATCAGGGGTTAGGATTTGCACCCGGTCGAAAGAAACCTTGCTATCGCAAGAGTAACTCCAGCTAGCTTCGCTAGCTTTCGTGACAAGCATGTCATGTCACTAAGTCATCTACTCAAACGTATTTATGATCTGTTTCTGCTTCAGCCGCCAGCCCCTTTCTTTTGAGGCTTCAGCCTGTGTCTCTTTGTCTTTTCAGCCGCTGAGACGCTGCATACCCAGCGGAGTCGTGGTCATAGTGGTCCACATAGCCGCCAAAGTTGTTCACCACCGTCTTCCTGTATGAGGTGCACATGGGCAATACTCAGGGATACTTTGCATGTTGAGTATTCTGGTGTTTGCCTACTGAAGTGAAGAGTTGACACTTCATGCACCTGCTCACAACACTACCACCTCTGGTTTGCCCCAATTCAAAACCTGTAGATTGGATGAACCGTCCTGTGAGCCTGTAGCTGCCACTGTAGCTGCACTTGAGGGTCCATGTCACGTTTCTTGAACCAGTCGCAGCTCCTAAGGATGGCCCAAACGTCTGCAAACGTCACTTCATCCAAGGTCCGCCTCCATTCCCATCTCTCCCCCGCGTCTCCCGCTACACTTGGAGACCGCCGAGCGGATGTAGGCAATCATCCGCTGCGCGCAGCTGGCCCTGGGGCCGGTGGGGGTCCAGTTGTTTTGATCTGACGATGACCTCTGATCCACTGTAATCCTTCAAAGATCCTGACTTGGTGGATGGCTTGTGGGGATTTGCGCACATGGATTTGCAAGCATCCAAAAGCGTCCTTCAAAGACATCTTGTTTTGCGGAAACCGGAATGGGATGATTTGTTGGGATTTTGCAGATGATCAAATGCATCGTGGGTCTTATCAACAAGCCAGCCACCCAAGCCCTCTCGCGACATGATGGATCTGGTATACCCAGGCTGGACAAGCGGCACGCCGCCATAGCCACTCCAAGTGAGCTCCTCATCCAAAAAGAAGCCTGGTGCAGTTTCGGCAGCTTCTCAGGTGTATACATCTGGCGCCCAGAACTTGATTGGTGAAATCAGCACCACCAAAAAACAAACAGCAGCTTCTTATAGTACCATGGGGTACACCGCAGACACGTCGATGAACGTGAAAATGCTGCTGTAAACGTCCACCTCGCCGCCAGCCTTTAAAAAGTGTTTGAAAAAGATGTTCGGAGTCCCATGGCAGGGATCTGCTTGGGGTCCCCTATCGACTACGAGGGAAGCCCACACACACACACACAACTCACCCAAAGACAAAGTTGCGCCGGGCAGCAAGCATTCAAGTTATTGGAGTAGTCGTGGTTGCCAAGGCCAGGCCAAACCGGAAGTTTGATGTTCCTGGGAAAAGTCTGACAAAAGTAAGAGGTGTTTTCTGATTATTTCCAGAAGGATTGACATGAATATGCAAAGGGAAGAGGGCGGTACTGAATTGGAAGCTCCATGGGTAGCCTTCAGTGCACTGCGGTGATGATCCGAGGATGCCTGCAAACTCAGCTCTCGGATGGAAACCACCCACAGAATCTGGGTTGCGCTAATTCATGGCCGTGTCAGCACCAAAAAATGGATGAAAATGGGTTGCCTGGCAACGACCTCCCATTTCGCTGGCAAACCCAGGGAGAGGTCACGCCCTGGAACCTCTGGGAGCGTTCCGGGTTTTATGCATCCAGAAAGCGGAATTCTCAAGAGCAGGGACTCTCTCCCCCTCTCACTCTCCTTGACTCCTTAACTAAGTGACTAAGTCTTTAACATTGTGGGCGCACATGAGTCCGTCTCCAAATTGGTGACTCTGGAAGAGCTGACGAAATCACTCCACCCCTCCATGCAACTGTCGCTATCAGGCCCAGCGTCTTGCTGGCATCCTCATCCTCTCGCGTCTCCCAAATCCTCACTCCCAGCACATCTAAGTGATTGCCTGAAAAGAGGCCAGGGAGATAGACTCAGGGATTTGCCTCTAGGTGTTGTTGTTTTCTCTTTCCAGGGACCCCAGTCACAGTCAGATTCACGAAGACCTGCAGCAATCCTTGCTCAAAACATGTCATGATCAAATTTGGATTGAACAAAGAGAACAGCGACTCACTCCAACTTTACAAGAAAAGTCCGAACCCATGATCTGTGACTCATAAAGCCAAAACCACACTCCCCCAATTGGCCCTCCCAGCCACTTGCGGTACGCTTGGATTTGACTCTCGTGCGCGTACGCTGTAAGGTCTCCAGTGATTGCCACGCCTGGTGTGCCGAGGCCCACCACCCATCAAACTTTTTGACCAATCCTTCCAGTCTCAAAGCCGATCTCAGTTATTACAGTAACATGTTGCCAACCCGTGCTCATGTCTGGGTGGCTTTGTGAAAGGATCAGCCTCCCTCCAGGCTTGTGTTGGCCGTAAGCCAAACCCACTACTGCACCTTGGCATCAAAAACCTCTTGCTGTTGCACTCCGGTTTTAAACAGTTTTAACTTCAAACCGGGCTCCCTAGACCATGTTAGCTTCGAAATATCCTGCGAATGACAATTTTAGTTCCAGAATGGAGTCTTCAAAATTTGGAGTTGCCAAGTCTACATGCTTCTTTACTTGGGATTGTTTACGGTAGTTTTCAAGGGCTGGCGCCAAATCATTGGTGCCTTCAAGATTGTCATTTGTTGTTTCTTGGGTTTCTAAATTTGTCTTTTTTGCTACCAGGTCTGTTTGTACACCTATCATCTATGGTTGTAAGGATGGGTGAGGTGGGATTCTTAACCTATTATATAAAGCTCCACAAGCTCACGCGCCCTAGCGCACGCACTGGCAAGGGCCGAGCTCAAACGAAGTATACAAGCTCGTCGAGCCTTGGACAAACCTGACGATCCCGTGCAAGTACACAAGCCTTTAAAGAGTCGTTCCCCTCAACACCCTCGACCCACAAGCTCTGATGGGTCTCGTTTGAGTGGTTGCTATGGTCAACCTTTTGGAATGGTGGTAGCTAAACATGACAAAATTGTGAGATCTCTGATGCAGGTGTCCAAAAAGGAAGTCCACCCTCACGGGGATCTCTGATGATGACCCCTGGAGAGGAAGCCGAGGCAGTTTACTTTCACACAAGTTTGTGATGGAGTAGAAAAGAAGTCTACAGTTGCAGGGACTTCTGATGGAGTATTCCGATTATCACAAAATTCCAGATGGAGAACGTCTACTTTGCAAGACATTGTATCTACGTTTCCATAGATTCGTGAGAAGAAAGTCCGAGATTTTTTATAGGAACTCTGCTTTTTCACATAAATTCCTGATGTGGCATTCCAGCGAGGAAGGCTGCTGAGATCTCTGATAGAGTCTGATGGAGGTCTCTGACAGAGGATTCTGGGAGGACTTTCACAAAGGTCTTCTTAGGAGTCTACTTGGTCTGTTTCAACAGAGGTTCCACTGAATAAACCTAGAGAGTTTACTTTCACAAAGACCTCAGATCTCTACTGATTGATGTTGGAGAGGAAAGGAATAGGAAATCTACATGATGGAGGATTTCAAGTTGGCTTTTCACAGAGATCTCTCTGCGGAAGGATAAGTTTCCTCGAGATTTATGGGGGATTCTCAGGGGGGTCGACTCTCACAAAGATCTCTCGTCGGTGATTTTAGATACCAAGCCATACCAAGCCTACTTTCTCAGAAAACCTGATGCTGGATGCTGGGGAGGATGTCTACATTCACAGAGATCTTTGGTGGAGGATTGCCGATTTTCAAGTTGTCTGACGGAGGATTCTAGGGAGGAAGTCCACTTTCACAGGGATCTCTGATGGAGGAGCTTAGACAGGAGGAGGCCAAAGAGGAAGTCTACATTGACGGAGATCTTTGATGGTGGGTTTTCAGAAAGGAAGAGTTTCGCTGATGTGGACCATGGTCCATGCCCACGCACCACACGCGCATGTTTCATGCCTATGGCCTATGGGTTTCTGCACCATGTCCGTGTCGCCCTGCTCCCAGCGCAAAGTCTCGACCAGGTGCATCGCCTGCACCATGCCTCAGAGACACGTGCGTCCCAACACGGCTCATCCATAGGGAGGATGTCCCCCCCTTAGCCCTTGCGAGGCCAGCGCTCAGGAGGAGAGGTTGCGGTTAAAGACCAAGTGGCAACTAGACTTGTAGAGCTGAGCAGTTTCCCTTTATTGGTGTAATCCATCTCTTTTTGAAGTTCTAGTTCTATATCAAACTTTTGGGCATACTCCCGTCTCAAACAAGTGCGGCAGCCCGCCAACTCAGTGTACTTCTCTTCGTTTCAGTCGGGGCAAAGACACTCTCCAGAAAATCCTGAATGTTGTGGGAGTGCAGTCTTTGTGCGAAACGAAAGGCTAGGTGGTCTCTTCAAGCAATGCTGGAGGAAAGGGAGGCCTCAGCCAAAAAGATCCCTTCCGTTAAAAAAAGAAACAAACGACAAGTCCTCCAAAAAGGTGAGCGTAGTGCCCAGAAAAAGAAATTAAGTATATATATATATATGTTATAAAGCGCTGGGGTTGACCCATGTTGACCCAAGCACTTCTAGCAGCTTGTCGAGTGCGGTTTTGGTTGAGCGGATCGCTCCCCCCCTTCAGCCCAGGGGCGATAGTTCTCTTCGATGGCGCAGGGCCAATCGCTCTGGCCGGAGGAAGGGGGCTTGTGGAGGGGAGGACATGAGAAAGTACAAACGACATGTTTTTGACATGTGAGCAAAGACAATTTACAGATCCATCTGCATCTGCATGTATGTTTGCTTAGAAAAAAAGTGCATTGGGTCCGGAAACGAGGTTCTTCAATTGGAGCCCACCGCCTTGATGGCTCCACTGCACCAGGGCAGCTGGGTGTCGGATGCAATCAGCAGAGTGAAGTCTCCTCAAAACGTGGAAACGAGTCGGAAAGAACTAACAATGACAATAATGATTTTAAAAATATATTTAAAAAAAAAAAAAAAAACAATAAACAAAAAAAACACCATAAGATGGAGTCGTTTCACACGGCAGGGTGAAGTCCCAACAACCGTCTTCTCTCACAAAGACTTTGTGGCTCATGGAGTGAAGATCATGAGGAGATGAAAAGGCCGTAACGACGAAATGGGTTTGTGTTGAAATAGGGAGACCTTGGGAGACCTCCCTATGGGCTCTTGGTAAGTGTGTGTTTGGTCTTCCCGGTGGTCCTTGAGGGCTCCCTATTCTGATAGATATATACATACCCAAATATCATGTGAAGTCTTGGACACGTGGGTTTGTTGTTCATCTAGAATGTAGGAAAGATGAGTCAGGCAGAGGGGATGCCTCTCCTTGCGGTCCTGACAGTGACAGACTGGGTGAGGAGATAAGTCGATGCCTCCAGAAAAGTCTGCTTCCCTTGGAGCGTTTCTCGAGGGTGGGGGGTTGTAGTCAAACATCGTTTGCAGTTCCCACAAAACCACCGAACGGGAAAAGGAGGTGTGCTCTAAGCAAGTACAGAGGTGTCTTCCTTCAAGCTGGTGGCTTTTTCACGTCATAATCATGTTGCGGCTGTGCTTTCACAAGCCTCCCACTTGGGAAGCCATAAATCGTGGGATGGTGATCTCATGTTCTCCTCACAAACCCTCTTTGGGAGCCTCCAAGTACTCTCACCTCGAAAAAGAACGACACCGTGCTGCCAAGCAGCGGTTGTTGTTGTCCTCCTGGACACCGGGTCCAAACGAGTTGCCCAAAGTGCACCTGGGGAGATGAAGATGCCCGTGGCAGCTGCCGGCTGTTGAAAGGAAGAAATCTTGAAAAACCCTCGGGAGCGGCCTCATTCCAATAGGGGCTTTGAGGGGGGTCTTCCGTCAACGGCCGGATCCTCACTCACTTGGTCACTGCTCCGTCAACTGGACAGCCAACAGCCCTATGGTACTCATGCAACAAACAGGCGGCTTGAAAACTGCACGCCCAAACAGAGCGTCCAGTCCCAAGAAACCGACCCAGCCTTGGACTTCAACAACTCCAGAGGTCTCAAATGAATTGGAAGGTTTTGGGTGCCACAAAAAGCCCCTGTACCACCCAGAACTTTCAGGGTCGTTCCCCACGAGCCATTGAGCGCCCCGACTTGTCGGGCGGTACGCCTTGTCCACGGTTGTAGGACTCCTGCGGATCACAGCGCAGGGAGAAGCCACGCAGCTGCCAGAAGAAGAAGAAGAAGAAGATGATGATGATGATGATGATGAAAGAAAAAGAAAAAGAAGAATAAGACAACGAAGACGAAGACGAAGTTCAAGAACCAGAACAAGAGTCACCAGCACACAAAAAGGGCGCCAGCACGGACACCATGTACTAGTCCCTCCTTCACCTTGGTCTTCAAGCTCAAGCCTGCGCGGCTCCACGTAGGCGGGATCTTTGGATAGAAAAAACACAGACTAGGCCAGATTGACACCTATTCTTCGATAAACACCTTGGGAATTGTGCCCAGGGGTTCTTCCAGTACATTGCTCGGCCTAAAGAGAGGAAAAACGTTGGGTGGTTGTGAGATGAAAGTCTGGGGAAGTCAGGGAAGTATCTGCCAATGACCAAAGTTTGAGCATAGTGGACGCGATTTATCTCATCGCTATTCTCCCTCATCCATATTGTCCTGCTTCAACCTGGTCAATATATGTCCAAAGTGGTCCCTGGGAAGCTGTGGCTACAATCCCCATGCATCCCCATACTAGTATTACTAGTAGCGACGCCCTAGCTACTAGCGTCCTTGCTACTAGTAGCTTCTTGTTATTTCTTGTTGCTCCAGTGCCTTCTTCGTCTTCTTTCACCCCCCAATGCTCTTGAAACTCACATTGTCTCTTTGGCCTTTGGCGACAAATTGACGCAGATGGCTCCAACTGATCTGGGCTTTAAGAGATTGGGCGCTGAGATGTGACACGCGAGGTGACATGACTGGCTCGAAATAGTGCTCGAAATACCCGCCCCGTCCTTGACGTCCACTTCTCCCATGTCCTTTTCCTTTTCCCAGTTCTTTTCCTCGCACTGTTCCTTTCCCCAGATCTTTTCAGATCGCCTTTTTCCTTGCAGATCCCTCCAGCAATCTCTTGATAGCCACTCGGGCAAGTCCTCCACTGGTCGCGTCAGACGAGGGGCAAGATGGACGCACGATGGACGCAGGAGGGGACAGGAGGGACGAGGCCTCAAAGGTTGTTTCAAAAGGAAAAGGAATCTGAATGCTTCTTTGGAGACGTTCTACTTGCTACTGGAGTTCTTATCATATTGCATAGGACATCGGGAGTCGCACGTGTTTTCCTGAACTTGTCGGGATGTTGTGCAGGAAACTCCTCACCGCCCATTCGGCTTGAGAAGGAGAAGGCCATTCTTGTCGGGTTTTTTGGAAGTCAATTTGTTGGCTGAGATCAGGTAGTAAAAAGAAAATGGTCAAGTGTGTTCGAAGACCAGGTGGTCGGAACGGCCCGATGGCTGACAAATGAAAAACCGAATGGCCACATTCAACGGGGCCCGAGAAGCATCGATTTCAATGGAACAGTATCGCCACAAAGAATCGCGAGATCCCAGAACTCTACGGCAAATCTTGATGAGTGAGTTTTACTTCAAAAGCGATCTTCATTCAAATCACCATCTCAAACTCTTCCAGTTGAATAAAACCGTCTGCCTGGTGCTATTAAGCCACGGACAGGCCGACCTCTGACCCAAATACTACTTCAGGCTTGCATAGATTGAAGGCAACTGCTTGGAAAAAAATGACCTCCCCGTCTAAAGTGAGTGCGTTGGTTTCACCAAGAAACTGCCACTGGTTCTCACGGACAACGAGTGGTCTCCTCTGCCTCATTCAAACCCCGAGTGGTTTCCCCTCGCGCAACACTGGGATGCCCTGCGTCTTGAAGCAAACATTGAAGACCTCGTTGTCATAGCCCACTCGGCCTTCGCACCGCCCAGCCGACTGCCGATTCCCTTTGCTCCTAGTAGCTTCTTGCTCCTATAGTAGGGCCAGGAGCCCCTAGTAGCGTCTTTGCTCCTAGTAGCGATGCCCTTTGCTCCTAGGTGCGTCCTTGCTAAACCCCACAAACGGTCACCTTTGGTCAGCTGGGTTTCCGCCCCATGAGCTCACCGTGTTTGTGTATGGTGAAAAAAACGCTGCCCGACCAGTCAACCCCACGAAGTCAAGGGAGATCTCGCCCATCACAATCCTTAAAGATCAATAATCACATAGACCTCAAAATCGATATGATAGGTAGGTAGATAAACAGATAGATAAGTGATAAGTGTTGAAATTTGTGAAACTGTTCATTGGGAGATCATATCATAGACATTCATAGACTGTCGACAAGTCTCCTTTGAAGAAAGCACCTCTCAATTGGTCTGCTCTGTGGCACCAGCAGTACGCAGTACACGCACGACCAGCCATCCAGAAGTGTTTCTTGGGTCATCTGCAGTAGTTCCTAGTAGCGTCCTTGCTCTTAGTAGTAAGGCCAGGAGCCCTAGTAGCGTCCTTGCTCCGTTCGTAGCGATGCCCTTTGCTCCTAGTAGGCATTCCGAACTATCGGTCCCTCAACTGGCCCTGAACGACAAAACATCGAAGCGCCCGCTCGAGCCCATGCCAGAGAAAGGGGAATTCCAAAGGGTGTCCTCTTCCGCCACAGGATATCTCTGCCGGGCCGCAGGGAGTGTAGCAAAAGCCCGCATGATACCTGCACACTGAAAGGGCAAAATCTCTCCCTCCGCCGTGGAAGAAACTCACTCTTGTGCGGCAAGTGCTGCAAAATCATCCAATAATGGTGGATGTTGGGTGGCTTGTTCTCAGCGGCTTGAGATATGATTGGCTTTGCGGTCCTGGGTTCTTCAGCCATCCTGGCTTCTTCAGTATTTGTCCCCTTCAAGTCCGAGAGGTGGAAATCCACCTCCGAATGCCGTCCCAGCGGCAGCTTCCCCTCGGTGCACATCATGACTTCGCCTCAACCGGCCGAGAGCCCCATCCGCCAAACCCGCCAGTGGAGGAGCCGTCCACAGGGGGGGGGCGCATTGGAGGCCGGGAGACTGCTCCGATTTGGTCAGAAAGTCGGAACTCAAGCTGGTGCCCCTGCCACTATGTTCCAGTGGTAAATGGAAGCAAAACCAAAACCTCTAGAAGACCACAAGGATTGGAGGTTCTTCACCTTCCAGGAACATCCAACCGTGCATCAGAAGGATCTGGGGAAACTTGTGATGCGAGATATGATGATATCATCTAAAGTCCGTCATCAAGCAGAGTCGAATGAAGCAAGGAGTCAACAAACATGACAAAGGGGGAGTTCTACTATCGCCGCAACTCTTGGCTTTGCATGGCGGTTTGTCCATCCGTGCCTCCAGGTCAGGAGTCACGGGCATTACACGAAATTAGCAACCATTTACAATGGGCTGGCCGCGGCCACACTCGGCCACTGGCCAGCCGGTAACAAACAAGCACTTTGCCTCATTTTCCGCACTGTATTGGACCAACTGTGCTGCCTATGCTGCCCACTTGCCCACCAAACCCCATCACCAAACCAGCCACCTCCATTCTGCGGGTCGTAGTAGCTGAACTTTCCGTCCACTCGGCTCTCATCGTCCACTCTGCCAAACTCCACTGGAGCAGTGGAGCCTCCCTCGCAAACAGGACCAGAGGCAGGACCCGGCTGAAGTGCTAGGGAAGTCTGGGAGGGACTGGTGAAAAATTGTTTGGACATGCCAGTCAAAACAAAAGTCAACTGCAAAGGTTTCGACAGGATCTCTATGGATACGGTCATCTTGCAGAAGGAGGGCTTCCTACTGGTTCCACTTTTCTTGGTAATGGGCAGTAGATCAAATTCTGAGGTCGCTGCATCCAATGCTTAATCACACATGAGTATTTTTTGATGCCTGAGCTTTAAAACCTGGCCCACGTTCAGCCGAAGCTTCCTATTGGTTCTTCACAACTGACAGCCATTGAACCGCGCACTCAACCCACCCTAGTAGCGATGGCCTCCAACCTAGTAGCGATGGCCACCAAACCAGTCGCCAACGGCAACACCACTGGGTCTCCGAGCTCCCTGAACGACGACGTGGCCTCGCACGAGTCATCGATTCTCATGGGTTCGTGCGGATCTGGACAGATCTGCGAGGCGATTGCAAACACCAAATTAGAATCGCCAGAAAAACAGTGCTCAAGAACCTGTCAGGGTGCAGCCTGCTCATGAAACAGGTGCCTTTGGGCATTTGGGTGTGAGGAAATGAGTTTATCATGGAAGTCACAAATCTACAGTGTACAGCAATGATTCGTTGCAACATGTTGCAACATGGCATGCTTAGGGTTGGCTTGTGGCCCAAGATGTTCGTTTCTCGGTCAAACACCTCGTTGGGCGAGGTCTTGCAGCACCTAGTCAACCGCTTTCAGATCCAACAAGTCTGACCCAGTTGGAGGAAGGAAGCGAGCTCGCTGCCTTGAGCGAACTCCTCATCCATTCCTCCAAGGGTCTTTGGCACATCTCGCTGCCTTGTTGGTCTTGAGACATACACCGGTCCGCAGAAGTCAAAGCAATTGCCAGTTCCACATGAGACGCCGCGCATTCAAGAAGTCAAACAAGTCAATGCAAAAACATGTAAGTCACCATCAGGACGCAGCGATAAAACTGTTTGTTTCTATCGTTTAATCCTACTTGAACGCCTCAGAATCTTGTATTCCAGCATGTGGACGCACATCCGACAATGATCAGGAAACGAAGGAAATTGTATGTTGCTTGACTGAGTTCACCATGGGACGCCGTATGATCCACTCCACCAAAACGACGGTTCCCCAAAGCACTGATACTAATCCATGTGCATGCTCCAGTGTGGCTTCGTGATGGTTGTGGTTTGATCATTGGCTGACTTGAGCATGTGTCTTGAATCCCTACATAACCACAGCAACCAACTCTGTCGAGGATTTGTGGCAGCAGCCTGATTCAGGATTCCTTGCCGCGGCCTGATTCAGGATTTCTGGCTGCGGCCTGATTCAGGATTCGCCGCAACCTCACCAGAAACTGGATGATCTAAATCATGCTGCGGCAAGGAATCCTGAAGCAGCTCCTGCTGCTGCTGCTGCTGTGGTAAAATAGGGATTCAAGACACACGCTCAAGTAAGCAAATGGTCAAGCCACGACCATCAAATGGATTTTGCCTTATTCCCTTTCCTATGCAGCTGCCTTCGATGGCTGAGCCTTCAATGCGCACAAACCCAGGCTCCAAAGCGCACACAGGTACCACTGCCTCTACTTGAAGTAAGAACACCAACAGCGATCGCTTTGCGACAACCAGTTTGCAACCTAGTGGCGGCTTTATTTGATTTCTGGTGTGCACTATGTGCATGGAAAAGTCATCTTCTGAGAAAAAGTCTATCTGCTAAACACCAGCAGGACGCAACTTTGCATCGACTTCCAAAAATCTTTCCCCAAGCTGGGACGCACAATTTATCAAAACGCATCGACTTTCACATCTTGGAGTAGTCTATAAATGTCTCATGACTGTTTTTTGAACTTTGGACTCCGATCCAAGCAGCGAAGCCAGTGATGGCAAGAGTCGGTCCTGCATTGTCATAAGTGACCTCCTCTGACGACACATGAGCTGTCAGATGGGATGACTTCGGTGAAGCAAGAGCTGCGGTTGACCAATGACTGGCAGCTCGTAGCCAACCAATATGAGAACACATTCTTCACCCACCTATTAATTTGAGTGTTCTATCTTCCGCTATACAGGAGAGCAGGCCCCAACCTTCCCTTCCCCTTCAATTTCGTCCAGCGGCCGTTCACCACCAGCGGAGGCGGCTCGGTGATGGTCCCTACTTCCGGGTTCCGCTTCGCCTCCTGAGAGGACCGCTGAGAGGTCTGGTTTTAAAGAAGACATCATACTCAATGCTGTGATTTTTTTGGGGGGGCTCCCTAGTCTTCCCAACAGGGTCTATAAACAGTTGAAATGCGAAACGCAGAGGAATGCTCACTTCTACTGTTCTACCCACTTTGCGGGTCATGTGTCTTTCGCTACCAACAATGAGGTTGTACGTGACCCCATAGTGCTCGACTCGAAGCTGCAGCTACGTAGAGGGTACGCATGTTGGAAGTCCAAAGAAACCCAAACCATCAAGGGCCTGTTAGACAGACACATCTCCATTCCTTGGCGTGCCTTCAACAACCCTAATAAAATACCACTTCCGTGGGCTCAACTGAGCCCCCTTCACCGGCCCTCACCGATTGCGCACGCGCAGACGACCATGTGGACAACCCGTGCAAAAAGACTGTTTTGAGAAGTCAGTGTGAATCGAATAACGATTGGTTCTGGTTGGAGAAACTCTAAATGACGACCAAAGAGGTGAGGATCGAGAAGTTTGCTCAAGGATGCTCTAATCAATCATGGTTCACAGACTGCATGAGTCTGAGTCAGAGTGCCTCTTTTTCAGCACGGATTCAGCATTCACCCTGTAAAACACCATCTGTGGGAACACCCCTAGTGAAAACACCAGCCCTGTGCTCAGCAGACAGCTGCGCAGTTGCGCCTCGTAGCTCTCTCCAAACTCCTCCGCTGCCAGCACCTCGTGCAAGGGTGATCATAAAGCTCTGAACGATCACAAAGTGTGTTCCTGGTTCTTGTAAGAACTCCAATGTGAAACTCCAATCAGTTCCGAAAATATATATATATATATCACTGATTCACTCACATCCAAAGAATCAACGAAAGCCTTGCGGGTTCTTGGTTCTCAGGCTTTTACATGTTGAGTACCACTGTCCCACCACACCACCTGCTCCATCGTGTGGTTGTCCGACCACGCAGGGCCCTGGGCCGCCTCCGCAGCAGCCTGCCATGGCAGCTACGGCTTGTACCACCCTCCATTTCGCGGGGCCAAAGTCGGATCATGCTGAAGAGGACCACCTATGCAGGCCCCATCTAACCTACCCAGGAAGAATATACAGAAAGAATTATGAAGAACTGAGCAAAAGACCCCTCAAACCAACAACTCGCACGTAACTTGCTCGCTCCACTCCAGACCCCAGTCACCCAGACCCAGGTCCGTTAGATTCTCCCACCTCCATCGCGGCGGAGCCCATGAAAGCCTCCGTGGCGGCTTTCTGGGCCTCGGGGACAACAAAGCTGATAAGAACAGAAGCCCCTCCATCACTTGGCCAAAGGAGCAAACTTTCGATATCGTCCTCCACAGTCTGCTCCGTCAGATTGGGTGATTTCACCCACCAACATCTCCGAGGCGCGAGGTCCGCTTGCAGCGCGCTCGCATACTCGCTCACGGAGAGGAGCTGGTCCTGGGTGGAGCGAGCTCGTCGCCGTGATTGGTGCGATGGTCACATCAGCAAACAGCAGCTGGATTCCATCGTGAATCCATTTTTTGGGGGGAGGGAAGGATGTCAAAAAAAATCCATACAAATTTTACCAGTCGCTTCTCAAGTCCCAGGCTGAGTTCTTCCTTTGCTTCGTGGGAGCAACTCAGTCACTCAACTGGGAGTGTGTGACCTTCGATTGCATACTAATACTGATACTGAGATCGTCTTGCCTGAAATGTCCGGTCAACACCTCACCTGCAAGAATGGGCATGGAGATTCTATTGATGGTGCAACATGCCTTTTCCTGTTGGAAGCCATGTTCATCCAGAAAGTCAGAAAGACCCATCTACTTTGTGACTGCCAAATCCTCAAACATCTTCACCTTTACGAAGCCCGTTTTCTACAGCTCAGGCCCTTCAACCCACCCAGACTACTGCACAGGCCCTCCATTGAGATCCCCGGCTCTGTTCAGGTCAGCCGCCTCAAAGAGACCCGAGCGCCTGCCAGTCCCGGCTGAAAAGCAACAGATGTGACCGAAATCGTTGGCTCGTCAAGCTGTTGACTGCAACTTGTGGGGGACTTGAAGGAGGTCTAAAGACAAACATGAAACAAGGCAAGGAAAGAATAAAGGAGCAAAAGAAAAAAACAAACAAGGAAAGAAAGAAGAACGGTCTTTATGTCGGTCTTATAAGTTACGTGCCAAAACAAAAGAAAAAGGTAGGTTTGCTGGATGTGGGCACCAGCCTACAGGCTGTAGCACCGTGGCGCCCCAAAGCAAAAGAAACACAACACCCACTCTAAGATGTCAAAAAATAGTCTTGAGCTTGGCTTAAAATTGATCTGGAACCCAGAAAGGAAAGCAACACGTCTTATACAAAGTCTGGCCTGGTTCATTTATTGTTATAGCAAACAAGTAACAATCGAGCTCCGATTGTCCTGCACCGCAACCTGAAGCAAGTCCTCACAATCTTGTCCACTTGTCCACTCCCTTGTTGCATCGCACCAGCACGGTGGCCCACAAAGCTCCTAGTAGTGTCCTTGCTCCTAGTAGTAAGGCCAGGAGCCCCTAGAAGCGTCCTTGCTCCTGGTAGTAAGGCCAGGAAGCTAATGTGAGATGTTCAAATCCTCTCTTCCATCACGACCTTTCCTCCCTTCTCGCCGCTTTCCCTCCTGGGCCACCCGGCTGAAGATCCGGCGCCTCGTGAAGCTCAAGCACCTGGTCGAAGTCGGCCGCGTCCTGCGAGGGCGTGCGGTCGGTCGGTCCGAATGGAAGGCTTCGTGCAACAAAAAAAAAGGTGGGCACGTACTCACCACCTGCGAATCCGTTCGCTTCCCAGAGGCCCCTTACGGCTAAGCAGTAGTATCGAAGCCCTGAATAAGAATAAAGAAAATAATCAATTATACTTATGCAGGATGGACAAGGCAAAAATGATTCTGTCATGTCAGAGCATGGCAAGAAGGCAGTATGTTCCCAATGCGATCTATGCAATCCTGTGCCCGGTTGATGGCCCAATCCAGAAAAGGATCCTGGAGACCGTCTACTGTGCCTTTTTTGAGTTGGCTACAAATGTTGGCTTGATAAGCCCTTGTTGGTGAAATGGTATCTCCGGGAGTTCATCAATGACTATTTGAAGGTTGAGCGGATGATGATTCGTAAATGGTGGGTCCTGGTTCTGATCAAGGACGTATTGCGCAGGGCTTGCATAGTTAGGAAGTACAGGTCTGCTGGAAATGCCAACTGTATTCTGTTGATGGAATCCCAAGGTTTACAAAATGGGTAGACATGTTGTTGTGTGAATGTCGACAAATGCTTGGTTACTACACGGAAGATTTCGGCTTGCTGTGGTAATAAAGGTGGTTCCGTGGCAGGATAACAATATCTAGGTGTGTGATGGGAAGAGCTTCGATATCGAGTGTGACACCAGTGAAGAGCACCAGATCTAGGAACCAAAGGTAGGTTATCCGAGCTAGGTAATTTCAGGCAAGATCTCCAGGAACGAGATACGGTTGGGCAGGTGGGTGGACAGGCCTTTATCAGGTTCTGCGAACTTGGGGGAGTCAGGCTATTCCAAGGCACACTTCGGCATGAGGTGTTGGAAGCAAGGTTTGAAGAAAGGCAAAGTAGCAAGTTGGCTCTTGGGTCAAAGACCCTCCCAGGAAAACATAGCATTTGGCCGAATCTTTCCCCCTGCAATTCTACAGCTGGTTTCAGGCTAGAGTAGAGATGTTGAAGTCCCAGCCACGCACGCGGGCCTCCTTCAGGAAGTAGAGGGAAACCTTGGTGAAGCACACAGCCAAACAACGAACCTGTCACGGCCCTTCTGGTCAAGGTCAAAGGGTAACACATACTGTAACCCTTCTCAACTACACACACCTGGCATCTATACCAGACACCAGACACCTGCCCAGGAAACTCCGTGGATTCCATTAAGGCAAAAGCCATGATCGAAATGACTTTCTTGATTCATTCTGTGTCCCAATGATAATGATCCTTGCAACAAATGGCAGTATGAGAAAATAGTGGGCCCAGCACGGCATGGCCCAGCAGCCTCTGCTGCATCACCAAAACCAACTTGAACACACAAAAGGCCAATGTTCGATACTGCGTCTTCATCCAAAGTCTCACATGATTTGCTGGGATTTCCATCTCAGAATCCGAGGGACACCAGGACTCCCACCGCTCAGCACTCCTCGCTCAAATCTGAAAAACTATGAGGTCTTGGGAAATCAGCCAAAGAGGTCTAGTAGTAAGGCCAGGAGCCCCGAACGTAGCTTCTTGTTCCGTTCGCAGCGATGCCAGGAGCCCCCAGTAGTCTTGAGATTTCGGTCTTGGACCGAAGATGTGAGTCGATGACCGCCCAGTGACCGTCTCCAGGATCGAGGGAGGCACAGCACCCACATGAGCTGGCTCCTCGAGAAATGCTTGAGGCAGTGACTTGCAAGTGGTACCTGATGGAAGAATCATGCAGAGGAACCAAAGCTTGCATGCAAACTTTGACCTGCCAAGAAGGCGGTTGTGGTCTTATTGAAGGACGTGCTGGGGCCAAAATTCCAGTTACATGGGCCCCATCAGTCTTACGTATGTGTGAATTTCAGTACTGTGGGGAACCAGTGACCTACACTACCCTCTCCACTGACACATCTTCTATCAACAAAATGACTGCAGATCTGTCATTCATTCATGTGTCCCCCATCATCCGTCATTCATTCCCTCACTCCCCATCATCGCACAACGCCGCTCTCCATCCGTCCCACTACAGAGCCTGGAAGCTCACGCAATTGTCCTGCTCCCCAAAGACCCGGCCACCTGCCCAGGCGATGGAGGGTGGACAAAGTATACATTGGGTGGATCCGATCACTGATCTATACCAAATGATGGTTGACTAACCAAAACACCAATAAAGTCTTCGGTCTCACGGTCTTCTCACCAAGGTGCAAAGTCATCAAGTCGCCACATGATAGTCCAACAGGGCGAATGATATACATCATCAAACACTCATATGGCCCATATGGCCCATATCATATTCCAAGAGAGTGAAACCATTGAAACTACTAGTAACAAGAAGCTACGTTCGGGGCTCCTGGCATCGCTACTAGGAGCATTCTTACTAAACCTCCTTGTCACAACCCAAAAGAGCCCATTCATGGGACGGTCCAGCAGGACGGTCCAGCTGCGTGGAACGTTCTCCCATCTCTCACGAGCTGCGCAGCTGCGACCTGTGAAGTTCAGGCCGAAGTTGTAGCTGCCAAAGCAGAAGGTGGATGAGACGTGCACGGCCTTGGTGCAGTTGATGAGTGAGGTCACTAGGTCATAGGTCTAGGTCATAGGGCATTTTTACACCCCTACCTTTGTCACACACCTTCACAAAGCCCGTTGCCTGTTGCCATGAATAAACAATAATAAAAGGATGGGATCTCGGGTGCTAGCAACCTCAGTAGGCCAGTTTTCTGGGAATTCGTTCATCTACAATCTCACCATCGCTTCCCTTCCGACACCCAAACTTGACCTGACCCCCCTTCCAAGGTTGCACCACAAAATTCCACTCAAGACCCAGGGGTGAAAGGCTTTGCGATGCTTTCTCAGACTCCACATCCCAGCCGAACGCCTGGGACCGAACGCCTTCCGAACGCCTCGGCCGAGGCGCGCCCTTCGTCACCTTCAAGGATCGGACCTGCGAGACCTGCGCTCCGGGCCGGTGGTCGGCGCTCGCGGGTGGCACCGAGGGTTCTGCCAACTCGATGACGTGAAAAAAAAACGTTTGCTGCACTCCGTTCACCCTCAGCACCCCCAGATCTCTTTGCACGCTTCTACTACCCTTTCAGTGCCTTCTAGTGCCTTCAAATGCATAGGTGCACCATTTCCAGGGAGGACCCTTGAAGCCGTCTTTGGCCAAATCAGCCCTGCAGCATCCTGCAGCTAAACCAGCTGTTTTCAAACTGGCCTTAACCTTAACCTGCTTTCGCAAAGCATCCCAGCCGGCATCAAAGGAGGCAAGACCTACAACCAAAAAAGCTTGGGCAGTTCTCCAGGTCTGAGAAACGCATGAGGATACCTGGCAATTCCCGACAAATGCACTTGCAAAACGGATTCTTGGCGAAGTACTTAGGGCGACGTCCCGAGGCAAGAAGAAAGACTTTCCGTTCCGACCGTTCCGACCGATGAAAACGTCCCGACCGAACCGTCGGATCGGCCAAGGCCGGGAAACCCATCCTGTCCCGTCCCATCTTCCTTCGGCCGAGCCGCGAAGCCAGAGGCTCGGGAGGCGTTCGCCGTGGCCATCGGAGTGCCGTCAGGGAAGCTCTTGCCACAAACCTCATGCGCACGCACGAGCAAGGACGCTACTAGGGGCTCCTGGCCCTACTAGGAGCAAGAAGCTACTAGGAACAAAGGGCATCGCTACTAGGAGCAAGGAACCCATCTTCGCACGCACTCCGGAGATGCACTCGACACCGGTGATACCCTTTCCGCGCAAAAGAATGGCACCCTTGGCACCTTCCAAACCGGTGGAATGGACTGGGACGGGGTAGGAGAGGGGATGGCAATCTGGAATCCTTCAAGGGGAACGATGCTTTAGGTGGGATGCTGCTAGCTCTCCAGCAGTTCGGTCGAAAGCGTTCGAGAAAGAGCTGATGCCGAAAGACCTGAAAACAGCTTGGTTCTGTTTGCAAACGAAAACATCGCACACCTATCGAGTTGACGACGTGCTATTTGTGGCTTGGAGGGAGGATCATGTGCAGTCCTGTCAACAGACCAGCAAAGTTTCAACATGAAAGGAGATGCTCCAAGGTTTTCCTGGTCAGATTCTCAGCTTCCAAGTTGGATGTTTCACCTCTTTGACCTCTTTGGAATGCCCCCCAGCTCCGGCATCGACCGGCTCGGCATCACTCCAGGACTAGCGGCATCGAAGCACTCCTGGCACCGGTCTTCTGAGCCTCAGAGACGGCGCTCTTTGCGGCGGTCGCCGGAAATCGCCAGAAATCACCTGAACGAAAAGAAAACCAGCACCTCTTCGGTCTTTGGAGTGATTTGTGTTGGGAGTCATCCGAGTCTTGGGAGCCATGCCATCCAGGATTCCACTATGATTTCGTTCAGGGAGTGAGTGTCGTTTGGTGTGCTGGAGAACCCTCCGCGTGCCATGGCGAAGTGGTTCGAGGCTGAAAACCACAGATCCCCAGCTGATACCCAGCTCGACACCCCCACATTCGACATCCCAAAAAGAACCTGGCAACAACCAAAAATCTGGCAAAGAAAGGCAAAGATTCGATTCCATCTCTGGCTTTGGCGGCTTCGAAGTTCCACGCACGCCACATGAACTTGGACGGTCGCGTGGCTTTTCGGAAAAGGGATCCACAAGACTTAGACTTAGCTTAGTCTAACTAAGCTCCGCAGACTCCCCTCATGCTTCAATGAAACCACGCCACTGGAGGCATCAATGTTGAGAGGCTGCCCCTGGCAGTTCTCTTCCGGGTAAAGCGCTGCTTCAAAGGGCGCCTCGAGGCAGAAGGATCGCATCTGAGGCGGTTGGCCAGTGACTGTTTTTTCTTAGAGTAATTTTTTCTGCCCGCTCCTTCTTTTTTGAGTAAGGGACAGAGGATAGCTCTAGTGACTGGACAGAGGATAGCTTACGCTTCTTCAAGGAAGCTCCCCCGCCTGAGAGCTTCCTTGAAGAAGTGCTCGCACAAATGATTTGGTTCCTAGATTTTTAGGGCTGGTTGGGGAGCCTCGCAAGCATTCTGGAACTGATTTCTGGCGATCGTAGGAAGGTGAATCCACAGAGGCGATCGCCCTGTGGCTCTGCTGGTCTTCTCCAAGCCAACGCACCACCGGCACCACCCGTCTGCCCATCTCTCCACAGTTTCAAGGCGCCATGAGCCAAAAGTTCTTTAGCTCCTCTTGGGCACTCGTTTCCTGGGAAGGAAAAGGGTACGAGGGAAGGACCCTGTCGGCACAGCAAATTCTTGTGGTTCCAAGCTTCTGCGAAAGTCAGCTACTCTGTGGGAATTCAGTAACAAAAGATTGAAGTTCGAAAGCATCCCAACTCTGGGACGGCAAGAATTGCTCGTTGTAACCACCAAACAAGCATCAGTGATTGAAACAGTCCATCCCTGAATGCAACTCAAAATATAACCTTATTTTAACAAGGAATATCCCCACCGTTTGTTGCAGATTCTCGTGGACTGGCTGAACTCGACCAACCTACTACTGTAACCTACAACGAGAATCATCTCTGCAACATACTGCATGCTGCGAGAACGGTCCCTTGTCGTCTACTAGCAACCCTAACCCAACCATACCCTCCTCTTCTCCCATCGCAAGTGTTCCCCCTCCCCCCTTCCCACACGCTCCCAAACCCAACAAATCCCTCCCCTTTCCTTCTCCGATCCCATCACCCCAAACACCCCATCACGGGATTTTTCTCCGTCCTTTTCTCTCGATCGATCAGCCACCGAGGCACAAAGCCACTCAGCTCCTCGGCCGTCAGCACCCCGTCACCGTCGCTCTCCGCGGCCGCGAAGAGCTGCGCCAGGCGCGAGTCCTCGGAGTTTGGGCGGCGAAGTGCTTTTCAGCGGCGGAGTTTCCGGGGTAGATGAGTTGTGCCTAGAAGTCTTCAGGTTTGGGTCACAGGACAAAACTGTTGAAAATATCATACGGCAACATTTGGTGTCACTTGGTATCCGGGTGTCGCTCATACTTGTTCTGGTGTCATTGATATTCGGTAGGGAGAAAAGGCTTTAACAAGCTAATTCTAGCATCAACTTTTGCCAAGATCAGTCAAGCAAAAAAAATCAACAGCAAGGAACAGCATGATAGAACATCAACGAGAAAAATAACAGGCAACATGGCAAAAGACTCTCCGGAACCCCCTTTGTGTCATGTTTTCCCTATGTATACATAAACCACACACCTGTTTGGTTACAGTATCTGAAATCGTTAGATTCATTAGACGGAAAGGTGGGCACCTTTCCACTGCCCAAGCTCTATGTTCAAACATGTCTTTCATGCAAGGTGCTCACAGTATCTCAAGAACCATGACTTCAAAGTGTTGAGGTGCGAAGGAAGAAGCCTTGGTCGTAAAAGCACCAGAGGGACCAACCAGCGCTGGTTTTCGCTGGATCTGGCCCGATTACAAGAACGACCTCGTCTGCCCCATGGAGAACCATGGGGGGCCATTGGGCACACGGGTATCGCTTGAGACCCTGGCCGCGCCAATGCCCAAGCTGGACATCGTCTCATCTGCCCATGCAACATCCAAAATCAGCGCTAGCCCAACGAACCTTGGCTTCGATACGAGTAAGGACTGATGAGCTCTCGCAAAAGAAATGGACTTGGTGTTGCTATGGAATTACAATTCTTTTGTAACTGTGGAAGATGGCATCCTGCCAAACTACTGCACATGCAGCTCCAATGTAGTATGGATGATGCTCCAGAGTCATGGAGTGTCTGCATTATATTTGCAAGTTCATGATGAGCGGACACAGGCACTGTATCAAGCCATGGAACATCGGTGTAAAATTCCGTAGTTGTGAATATGTCTGTAGTTTCTGAACGATATATGCGTGTCCAAAATCTGCGCTGTGAAAAAACAAGCAAACAAACAAACAAACAAACAAACAACAACAACCCACAAACCACTGCTTTGCCAGGACGGCAGCCACGCCTCCGCCAGGTGGCCATGGATGCGAACGTGGATGTGGCGCTGGATGTGATTCTATCAATCTGACTCTAAGGCGACTTCTTCGTTTTTTCTAAAGTAATGTAAGAGACTGCTTTTAAAGGCCAAAAACATCTTTGAGTTAGTCTAAGAAATGCATCCTCGTAGTTCTACGTTCCACAACTTCGAGCCGGTCAAGCAAGTCGGCGGCTTTGGGGGGGAAAACATCAAGATGACCCCCTTTCACTCCGGTGTGGATGATCCAGCGTCTGTTTGTACTGATCAGCATGGGGTCACACATTCTGCCCTCACACCGGGATTTGACTATGTGTTCATGTCCGTTTCCCGATCTTGGACTTCCTTCTTTCAGGAGAACTCCCCTAAGAGAAAAATACTCTATATACAGTAAGCATTATATAAAAAATAAAGAAAAACATCTGCACTCAAACATCTGTGTAGGCACTGCCAGAACCACGTTCTCAGCGACCTGCAGGGACCACTTATGACTTGAACGGGAAGTTTTACGCTGTCCATCCCCGATCAACTGGATTGTTGGAACGCTCAAACCACAGCGCCCTCCGGAAATTGTGTGATCAACCACCAAGTTGACAAGAATCTGGGGAGTCTTAGGCTCAAACGTTTGAAGTCTCAAAAAGGAACCGTTGAAGCTCACTTTGAAGTCTGCTTCGAACCCCGACCGGCTCCAGCTTGGTGACTTCACAATTGAACCAAAGAGCAAATCCACCACGACGAAGTCAAACTTCGCCTAAGCGATGAAGTCCCTCGCCCAAAGGCAGGGTAAATGGCGTCACTGGACCTTTGCTCCTAGGAGCGTCCTTGTTCCTAGTAGTAAGGCCAGGAGCCTACTAGTAGCGTCCTTGCACCACAAGGTGGCTTCCTTTTTGGCAAGTCAGAAGTAAACCGCACACGACTGGTCACTGGTGTTTTGGGTTGAGGGATGAGTATTGACATGTTTCCCCTGGCATGACGGTGTGCTCATGCCAAGTGCGGGTGATGTTTATCTGGGTATATCTAGGTCTGGTCTGAATGATCTGCAGACTCTTCTCGTGGAAAACATGACTCCCCACGCTTGGACCATTGTCTGGACTCGCAAAAGAAGAAAGTAAGCCATCCTGTATTGGGGTTGTGAGCCACAGCCATACTTGTTTCAGGGTCTTCTCTTAAATGGCTTAGGACGCCCGACAGCGGAGGCCTCCCTCAACATGCCCCGGAGGTCAGTCACAGCAGTGTACCTGGCATCACTGGAAACCATCATGGAAGAGGATGGAGGCCGAGCTCCTTTGACTTTGGAAACGGCCTAGTAATTTTTCAAGGTTTCCGAGCCTTTGTGAGAGGTATGGGTCGCGTAGCGTGCGCACGAGAACGCCAAACAGCACTACTTGGTTTCCTCTACAAATGGATTTCGAGATTCATGTTCGTTCTTGTGAGTGTCAGTGCCCTGAAGAATCTTCACCAGCTGACCTGGAATTTCACAGAAAATCTTTGTGCAACCACTGCGGGAACGAGTCTCACGGGCGCACTGCCGGCCGACATAAAGGTTGTCGGGCGCTCCGCACCTCACGCCCCCAGTTTCTGTGATGGGGGACGAAGGAAAGGCCAAGAAGGAAGGGATAGACAATACAAACCGGACCAGCGGATCGGTTTCAAGCAATGTTTCACACTTGCTGCGTGAGAATCTGCTCAAGTGCGATAGTTTCTGTAGTCGTCCAAGTTTTTTGCCCTCAATGGCTGAATGTGTGTGTGTGTGTGTTCTCGACATGTTTCAAACACTGGATTCCCAATACCTCAGCTTCATTCCAAAAACCTTTGGGATCCTCTAGGCCGCTGGCACAGGCATCGCGCCACTCGGGCGTCGCCTGCAGGTTTCGGGGTTTCGAGGGGGCACCAGGCAGCTTCGCACCATTAGCAGTCATTCTCCACGACATGTCTGGGAAAATGCACATGAAATACTAGGTATACCATATCAAAAAATAGGAATGTGAAACGAGGTTGAAAACTCAAGGGGTTGAAATCAGGTTGAAACCATCTGAAGGAGTCGCTCTTCAGTAGATTAACGGATCGTCACTGCTGTCCCGTGATGATCTTCATTCCAACAAATCTAAATTTGAAGGCGCCCCAGCATCAGGGCTTGGTATTACCATTTCCTGGGCCGCCAAAGCACTTGGTATTTCTTCAATAACTAAAATCCCTGAGGATTTGAAACATACCGCCTGTGAAAATGACCTTTCCATGGGTCAGTCGACCTATGTGCAGAATATTTTTCAAAGACTCCAGCGGGACCTGTTTCATGTTTGCACGAATTCCACATCCCACCACATCCACCGGTCTGCCTGACTTGCCCGATTGCATCATGTTTTACCGTGTTTTGACGATATACCGGTTTTTTGGAGGTCCTCCTGCACCCAAGAATGGGAATGAGCCCGCAAGCATCATATGCTCCCATTAAATTAGTCAGGAGACATGTATGGCATGCTGACCAAGATACATTCCCTTGTGAGTGTCCTGGGCCCCCACTGTGCACCCTCTCATCCTCCTGTACTCCGGTAAAGCCGGTTAAAGCATACTGCTGTCAAGGTGTCACCCGGGCAACTCCCACACAACACAAAACAACGATTTGGGTGATCACGCTCATCCCCCTCTCCATTCTCAATTGTTCCACAGCCTGTTGCCGGCGCAGCAATCCCCAGAAAGTCAGTTATGTGTTTTTGATGTGTCTTGTTTTCAACACGGGCTGGAGGGTGAAAGTTTCAAAGACATGTGTCTGCGGGTGCAAGAAATAGCCGTCATCATTCCCCAAATGAAGAAACTACTTCTAAACACTTTGATCTCGGAATTTTCATCCAGCGCTTCCAAAGGAATTTCATTCGGAAATTGTTGATATGTTTGCAGCCCTACTGCAATGGGCTTGAGCCGTCAATCGGACAAGTGACAAGTATGTTGTTTCGGAGTTGATGTTCGTCCTGAATGTTTTGATGAGCCTCATCATTCATCATGAATCGTCTTCGGGTTAAACCTCGAAAATGGAACCCTATCCCGCTTCGAACCTTGAAAGTTGAGCCGCCCAGTGCTTGTTTGAAAAACGTTCCTAGTAGCCCTACAGGGGCAGTGGCAATGCTCCACGGTGTTACACCGACCTGTGCACATTCTCGCAAAGTTCCATCGTTGGCGTGAACTGAGCGCCACGTGTGCTTCATTTCTGCAGCAGCCAACGATTTCCCCGTCAAGAACACAACTCGTTTCATTACTGAAAAGGAACTCCAAAACTGGGGGCACAAACAAGCATTACACGATCCAAATCTGAATGAGAAAGGTTCTCCAACCCACTTCGGCCTTTTGATCGTGTGAGGCGTTGTTCCAAGCAATGGATTCGGCAAATGCCGGGTGAGCATCGCTCTCGTCACACCCGCCGGTCATTCCAGCTTGGATGCTTTGCAACCTTTGCTTTCTTTCAACCGCTTGAACACTCATCGACTTGTCGGACCTTGCCCCTCCGTCTTTGTCAAACCACAACGTTTTGGCAAAATGCGTCCAAACTTCGCACATGCCACAAGAACAGATGGTACGGCCTTGCACTTGTTCAAAACTTCAAAACTTTAGTTTTTTTACGTGTGCGTCCACTTTTTGCACAATGTTTGGGCCTGCGCAGCATGTGACTTAGTGAAATGCAACTTGACAGCCATGCACATCTTATTTCATTGTATGTTCATGAAAGTTTTACACGCCCTTGATGGCTCCCGAAATGCAGTTGCAGCATGATCGGCCACTCATTGGCCTCGTCCTTCAACTCAGCCACTTGCGCCTTGGCCGCTCAATCCGAAAGCACAAGCCGCTCCAAAACGAAACGTGGGCAAGTGCACTCCCTCGCGTTGTCATTCCATTCACTTTTGCACAGCAGAACTTGTTCAGCCAGGTGAAAAATGTTTCTTTTCAACGCTTCAGTTTGCGTGCAGGTGAATATGAATGGAGACATTCGAACATGCAGGCCAAGTCGTTGGGCACTAGCCGTTTCGAGTCAGTCAGACTTGATCACCCTAAGTGCATTTTGCCCATACGACGGATGGCGCTGGAAGTCGTCGAGGGCAAAGAATTTGATTTCGGTTGAGGCGGGCGCTCCAAGATCTGTGCGATTTCCTGGTTTGGTCGGTCTGGTGTTGTTTTTTGGGCGTTTTTGTGTTTTGTGTTGTTGTTTTTTTTGGTAGTTTTGGGTTTTTGATTACAGAAAACTTATAATATCTTCATTCAGTGGCTGATCTTCGCATTCTCTGCCATGACTGGCAGCAATACGCGTGCAAAAAATTGGTCATGTTTGTTGTTGCGTGAAGGCCACGGACCGGTTTTTATTTTCCGCACACCGCCACTGTCCTGGAGGTGAAAGTTGAACGATTGAACTCTCATTCCAGCAAGACACAGGTGTCAACCACCATCGTGCAGCAGTGTCGTTGTCGTGCGCCCACCAGCTGCCCCAAGGAAGGTTCTCCAACCATGTGCTCCAACACCACCTTTTCGACCACCATGCCGCAACCAATGCAAAGTCCAGATGAAGTGCCGAACGATCACAACGGGATCGATTACTGTACTTCTCTTTCGCGCGCTCTTGGGCCTCCGAACTGCCCATAGGTGGCAAACGAGTTCTCGAGCGCGATTCCAAGCTTTGTTGATGGCTTTGTGTCAAGACAAGCCTTGTTGCAGTCTTGAGTTCTCCGTCTATCCGAGTCTATCCGCTTTTGTGCATGAGTAGAGATTCCAGATCTGCACGGGATGATGGGGATGACCCCCAGAAATCTCCCAAAACAACTCTTGAGCCGAATCCTTGGAGGGCAACTCTGGTTTTCTCGGAACGATCTCACCAACTGAAGCGCTGCGCTCAACCAGGGCTTCTTTCGCGCCACCTCTTGGCCGAAGAAGTGGTATCACAGGCTCCAACAAGACGGAGGTTGCAGCAAAGCAAGGACAAGAGCATCACGTCCTCCCTTTTACAACCCTACAAGACATCTGAAAAAAAATGGAGTCCGCCCACAAAAACGCGCGGAATGGGCCGCACCATTTCGG